GGGCCCGGGCTGCAGTAGCCCCTCTCTCTCCTCAGCTGGAACAGTGATGTTTGAGTACGGCATGCGCCTGGGCCGGGAGGTGCGGACGCTCCGAGGGCTCCAGAAACAAGGGAACTGTTTCCTCGCTGCTATTAACTGCTTACGGTTGATCCGCCCGGAATACGCCTGGATCGTCCAGCCGGCTGCTGGAGCTGTGGTAGGACGCGCTGAGCTCACTGAGAAGCCCCTGACCTGGGCTGTCGACTGTGGGGGCACCTACAGCCCTACGTTTTGGGGGGGAGCTTCCAAAATCCTTTCCCGTGCGATGAGGAGAGGCGTTGGCCGCCTTCATCTGCTGCTCTCATCTTCTTGTGCCGCGCCCCGCCTAACAGAGGCATCGGTCCAAGCCATCGCCCTTGTGTCGTTGGCCCTTTTTGGGGCAGGGTGGAAGCAGGGCAACTTTTGGGAGGGGGTTGGTGTGTATATGTGGGAATAGATCATCACCTTTTGCTGAAGATATAAAGCGAATCTTTTCGGGGGAGTCTGAACAGCCGGAATAGGGGTCAAAAGGAGAATGACTGGAACATGGGTTGTGTTTCCAGTCTGGTTTACGGGGAGGTGGTGGCCGTAGCTGGATCAGCTAAAGCTGTGCCGTGTTCCTGACAGCCAGAGATAAACACAACCGGAGCTGCCCGGTGGGTTGTGAGGCTTTTCCGATTCAAATCAAGGCCCGAAATGGAGAGCTGCTGTTGGGGCTGTGCCCTGTCAAGGCGACTCGTCCTTTGCAAACCCGATGAGCATAAACCCTCTTTCTTCTTCTTCCCGCAAGTACGAACGCCCTGGAGCATCCCCGAAGAGAAGCCACGATGGGGAGTGCACGGCTGTTCCCAGTAAGTGCCCAGTCCTGGTGCTTCCTCAGCCCTTGTCAGAGAGCAGCCTTGAGCGGCCTTTTCCCTGGCTTCAGAGCTCTGCTGCTCCCCGCTGAGCTGGGAGACGGCTCAGGGCAGCCCCTGCCTCTGCCAGATCGATGATTTTGGGGGATTATCGCCTGGTGAACCCTCCTGGCGTTAGTGTCTCCCAGTTGCAGTATGCTGCCACGGAGCAGCTATTCCCTGAGGAGCTGCTGTGCACACCCCTCTGCAGCCTGGTGCCTTGTCAGTGCTTTTGCTTTCAGTGGAAATAACGTCTAATTTAAAAAGGAAAAAAAAAAAAAAAAAAAAGCCTTTGTGAGGCAATTTCTAGTTGTTCAAGACTTTTGTTTGTGCTCTCGGAAACCCTGCTGGCGCGGTGAGTCTCTGCTGGTGAGGCCTCTGCCCTGCCTCTGTCTGCCAAAGCACAGGGTGGTGGGCTCAGGTTAGACTCGTTTTTTCTCAGCATTCCGGTAGAAAAAATGTGAAGGACGGGTTCTTTTTAAATCAATTCTTTCTGAACGAGCTCTTCTGTGGCACGTGCCTGGCGGTCAGAGCAGCGGCTGTTACCCCACGTTAGGCAACGTCTCTCCTGGAGGAGGTGCAGGAGGTTTTTATCAAGGCACGGCTCAGGGTAGCGAGGAAGGGGCAGCAAAACCTGCCCCCTGCTGTGGTGCTCTTGGGGTCCGACCCCTCTGGGGACGGCAGAGGGGGGTGGGTACCTCACACAATGCCTCAGGAGCCCTTTTTAAAGAGCCCTTCGCGTCCGTCTGTCACAGCAACCCGCCAAATCGAGATCCTGGAGCTGGAGGATTTGGAGAGGGAGTGCCTGCTGGCTCGGATCCGGCTGACTCTGGTGCAGCACGACCTGTCGACGGCGGCCGTGGCAGGTGAGGGACGCGGCGCGGCCGCCTCGCGCTTCCCCGGAGGGGTTTGGTGGTTTTTTGCCAGTCGGAGCTCAGGTGAGGCAGCAGCGATTTGCTTCTGACCCAGGAGCTGGCAGGGCCCGTTCCGTTCTCCTCCCTGGCGTGAGATCTTGCCACCAAGTTTCAGCAGCTTTGGAGAGGCAGATCCGGAGAACCAATCTTAAGTTTTCCATGGTGGTTGGTGGTTTTTCGGCTTTGCCAAGTTCTAGTAGCGGTCTGCAGCGCGGTTTTGGGGGGGGGGTTGAGCTCATGAGTTGGGACAAAAAGGCATCTTTTTGTCTTGCTGGAAATGGCCTCTAGATGAAGCAGAATTAGAAAGGCCTAGAAAAGACACTTGTTGCGAGGCTTAAATTGTTGTCCTGGACAATCCTGCTTCCTGACACAGCGTTAGCTTGTCAAAATTGTTCCTTATTGGGGAGCAGAAAGCTGCGGCTCTCCCACCCTGGCCCTCTAAGGACGTTCTCCCGCTCGCTGGTACGAGTCCTGCAACATGGACACATTTGTCCCCTCCGAGTGTCGGGAGGAGGCGACTCCTCAGTAAGGGACCGCAGGGCCGGTTTGGGGGCAAACTGGAGACGCGGGGAGCGGAGCGCCACGCTTCCATCTCGCCTCCTGCCGCTGCCCCTCCTGCCCCCTCCCTGCTCACCGAGTTGCTGCCTCTCCAGCCTGATGGGGGATGGCTCGTGGGTCACTGCTGCTTCGTGCAGTCCCTCCGGGGAGGGACGAGATGCTCCTGCCGCCGAGAAAACCTCAAGCCGGGCGATCAGGGGTTCTGCTGGCCGGTGTTTTACGCTGGGCCGTTAGCCCCGTGAACTGTGCCGCTGAATTGCACGGGGTGAGGTCCCAGTAAACGCTGGGGCGTGACTGGAGGAGGCGCTTACCCTGGTCCTCCTTCCCTGCAGGCAACTCTACACCTGAGGAAACGGTTGCTCTCCTGGTCCGGGCCGGTCTCTTTGACACCGCCATCACTCTGTGCCAGACCTTCAAGCTGCCCTTGACGCCCGTCTTTGAGGGACTCGCTTTCAAGTACGTAGCGAGCTTCTCC